TACCGAGATGAGGTATTGTAATTATTTACATTATTTACATTGTTCGGACTGTTGTCCTCATCTTCGTTGCCATATTCACGACGTTTAGACCGTTATACGCTCCGGCCTTTTTCAGGCTGTTTTACGCTCCGACCTTCGTCAGATGATTGGAATTTCGGACTGTAGCATTTATTTAGTCCATCCGAGTAGGTTGTTCTAGTTCCACGTGCCATACTACTTATAGATGTCTCAATTATCTCCCTTAAACTCTCAAAGTTTTTTGTTCACCATTGCAGTAGACAGGTATTGAACTCACACAGAAAAAAACCCAAAAAACTTCAAGAACTCCTATAGACGGCATTAAAGGAAAGCAAGAAGAAAGGACTAAACACCAATACTAAGAAGATATAATGCGTAAATATCAAAAAAAGAAAGAGTCCAGTATGCTGTCTACGAATTGAAGGCGCTTTTAGCCACTCGTTCATGCGCATTATTGTTGTGGATTCCGGGTTGAAATCCGGTACCAATAAATAACAAACGCCAGGAATGAATATATGAAAATAATGTATTAACGTAATAATACAAACTGGTAAAGCGGGTTAGTAGTTCCAGGAATACGGGTTAGTAGCAAAATATACACTGCGTGCCAAATTATTATCGAGATAATTTTTTTTCATAATATTTCAAAAACCGTCCAATCAATTCACACAAAATTTTCACACAATATTGGCAACACTGACCTGCGCAATCACTTTTCTAATAATTTGGCACGCTCAAATCACCGTACTGATAACAAATATGGCGCCAGTTTGTTTACATTGTGCAGATCAGGTCGAAAATTTCAGTGATTGCGCAGGTCAATGTTGCCAATATTGTGTGAATTGACTGGACGGTTTTTGAAATATAAAAAAAAGTTATCTCGATAATAATTTGGCACGCAGTGTATATACAGTCTTTAGTATTGAAGTATCGCTGTATGACTTCTTACTGAGTCTACGTTCTCGCTCACTGTGACTCCTACAACGCTGTTACCTCACCCCCCCACTCTTCCGGTTACCTACAACCTTTTTACTCTGGACTCGACTCGACTCTTCAATCTTGCTCTCGTCTTACTCTCGTCTCTTCCCGTAGCAGTAGTATATGTATATACTGGGTGAGTCCATTGTGTAAAAAAGGGAGAACTCCTCAACAATTATGATCCCGGTTTAACAGACAAAACTTTGCAAGCCTCTTACAGCTCTATCAACATATCTATGGGAAGTGGTTAAATGAACTACATGGATCAGTTTCCCCGGTTCTAATGTTCCCGGCTAAGACTCGCCATGCCACGCAAATTGTAGCGAACCATCATCATTCCTATTGTATTCCCTTGGTAAGATATAAGCTCCACTCGATCAATTTATTACAACGAACAACTGTTTTGTGAAACCGACTCCCAAGTGGATGCTTCCCCGATCACTGAAATCGCGGTGCAAGTCTAGGATCAACCGTTATCTTCCACAGATATCCACATAAACTGGGTCTCAGTCACCCGCTACCTCGAGTGGCTCTCGCACCTTGTACAGAGTGAGTCTCATTGTAACAGAAAGACAAATATTGAAGGCCGAGTTTTTAAAAATCATTTCATACCAAGAAAAGCGATAATGTCCCTAAGACGCAAGGTGATGAAAGAAAAGGTGAAAACTTTAGGTGACTGAACCAGAACCAGGAAACAAACGATACACCTCTAATCCTGTTCAAAAAACGGGAAAAGATGGTGAACTGGGTCGATAGGCGAAACGGAGTAGGAACAGTCTACTCTTTGGATTGAATAAAGATTTTTTTTTTTCAAAATTTCAAATTATCAAATACGACCGACACCTGAAGAAGGACAGAGTGTACAACGGCCGAAACTTCGTGGCGATATCAGTGAGAACGCGCATTCGAGAAGCAATGGATAGACATGTAATAATGATAATTCCTGATCTCCAAAATTTTGATTTAAGTTTTAGATCTTATCGGTTGTGGCGTTGGGAAGGCCACAAATGGAATAAAATAGGCGACCGCGATACTTCGACCAATTGCTGGCCTACAGAGTTGCTAGGACTACATAGCAAGAGAAAGAGAAAAAAAAATTAGACGTTTAAGAGCTAAATGTGGTGGGGATGACAAACAGTAGTAGTAGTTTTTGTAACAGGCAACAATGAAACATTTCTATGAAACAAGTAAACATCTACACCCCGTTCCTTTTTCATTCGAGGCGGAGCGAGATCCAGAAAGTAGATGACGTCGGTGAGTTTAAGTAAAATGTAAGAGTTGTTTCTGCAAGTGGAAGAATAGGCGGGTGAAGGCTTGCATTGTGCTGGAGAGATAACATTTTCGATGGATTGGTTTAAAGGGATGGTCATGGCGAAAGGTTAAGAGACAGATGAGAAATGGCGCCTGAAAATCAATTCTCGGAATGAAAGAGAGCGTGAGAGGAAGGTTGGATACTGGAATTGGTGGTCGTACGCCGTGGTTGGAAGTTTTTGTGCTGATAAGCTTGGTCTTAGTCGCATGCAGAAGAAGCGGGAAGACTAGAAGGAAAAAGGAGAGCAAGGTGGAAAGTGAAAGTGAAAGTGAAAGTGAAAGCATAAGAATGAAAGGGAAAGAAAGGGAATCAGTAGGTCGAGGAAGAAATGTCGTCAAGAGAAATATGAGAAAAAGCGAAAGTTAACTGGGAAGACAAAAAAATGATAAGAAAAGAAGGAGAGGGAGAGAGAGTTAAGAAAGAGAAAACTAGAAACGTAATCTTTGTAGAGAAAATAGTCAAAAAGAAAAAGTAAAGGAAAAAAAGCAAGAATGATAGAAGAAAGAAAAATAAAACGAAGAATGAAACATATAGGAAAGAATGAAAATTAGGATAATGTATAAAAATAGAAGCAAAACGGAAAAAAAGAACGAAAAATACAAACATAAAGAAAGATAGACGAATGAAATTGAAAAACCGGGTAAGACTGAAAAATAAGGCGAATCATGGATAATATGAGAAGAATAAAAATTAGAAATATGAAAAATGAGAAGACAGAAAAAAATAAAAATAACAAGAAATAAAAATGTAAAATAGGAAGAAAGAAATATGAAGAATAGAAGAGGAATGAAAAAAGAGCAAGAATGAAAAATATAAGAAAAGTATTCGAATAATGAAGATTAAGAAAAATGAAAAATAAGAAAATGAAATATGGAGGATAGAAGGAAAAATGATAAAAAGACCGAGAATGAAAAATATAAAAGAATTCGAATAAGGAAGATTAAGAAAAATGAAAAATAAGGAGAATGAAAAAAGAAAGAAAAAATGAGGATACTGAAAAAGGAAGATCTGCGGAATTATAAAAATAAGAAAATCGACAATGAACGATAGAAGAAGAATAAAAATAGGAAGAATGAAAAATAATACGAAAAATGAAAAAAGAAAAAATCAACAAATGAATGAAAGAAAAAAAAGAAAAAAATAAAGAACGGAATAAAGAAAAAACAGAAAGAAAGAAAGAAAATGTAAAAGAAAGAAAGAAAAAAGAAAGAAAGAAGAAAAAAGAAAGAAGGAAAGAAACAAAAGAAAGAAAAGAGAAAAGAAAGGATTAAAAAGAAGAAAAAAGTCTTATACAAACCAAAAATTTAAATATGGAGGATAGAAGAAGGATGAAAAAAGACCGATAATGAAAAATATAAGAAAAGAATTCGAATAAGGAAGATTAAGAAAAATGAAGAATAAGAAGAATGAAAAAGAAAGACAAAATGAGGATAGTGAAAAGGAAGAATTATAAAAATAAGAAAATCTACAATGAACGATAGAAGAAGAATAAAAATAGGAGGAATGAGAAATAATACGAAAAATGAAAAAAGAAAGAAAATGAATGAAAGAAAGAAAAAGAAAGAACCATAGAAATGAATGAAAAACGGAATAAAGAAAGAAACAGAAAGAATGAAAGAAAATGTAAAAGAAAGAAAGAAAAAAAAGGAAGAAAGAAGAAAGAAGGAAAGAAACAAAAGGAAGGAAAGCGGAAAGAAAGGATTAAAAAAGAAAAAAGTCTTATACAAACAAAGAAACCTGACAATCAAGCGAATAAGACAAATGAAAATTTATTATTTAAATAATCGACAGCAATGTCTGGTTTAAAAAAAAAGTTTATTTCCCGCTCAAAGCAGAGGTCGGTGTTTGTGCTCTGAAAAGAAATTAGGATATATATGGCGTAAATTAAGTGTATTAAATTACAGGTGAGGCAAAAAGAGAAAATTAAATCATTAACTTTTTTTTTCTTTTGACATTCAAACTATTTAATGCGTAGAATTTAAAATTGTTTCTCTCATCGATGCTCCGGTTTTTATAGTGAAAAGTAGATAACATTTGTTAACAAGGGAGGTAACTGGATATTACTCCACATCCCCCATTTTTTTAAAAAGTCCTTTCAAAATGAAAGACTAACAGGATGTGGAACAAAACAACCATATCTCTTGTAAAATGGCGGGTTTGTTCTATTGACAACCATCTTTTCAATTCCAGTTATTTGAATTTCCTGCTGATCCCCTGACAATTCAGTTGGACTCGCATTCTTCAAGGAACTGACATTGACACTGCACTGTATTAAGTTATTCAGTACTTTTGTGGGTTGGTAAATTTTTTATTAATGATGTCTATTCAGTCCTTAACTTTAGGTGAAAGATATTTCCTCGTTGAATTCCACTGTGTTTTAATTAGAACTGACCTTCATAAAGTAGGTTTTACAATGCCTGCTGGTGACATTTTTTGGTGTTTTAATCCACACAGGCTGTCCGTCAGTCAGATTAGGGCGAACCTTTGTTCGATAACTCAGATCAAAATCCCCCTTTTTTTCTAGCATTAATGTGTTTACCAATTCTTTTGAAATCTTTGTGGAATTTCCGCTAAGACAAATCTTTGGACAACAAACTGGGAATTGCTGGGATCCGAACACGTAGATTGCAATTCAGTAACAATTCTGCTGGACTAAAACCATTTTTCAAGAGGCTAATTCTGGAATTCAGAAATGCTATGTATTCTTTCTTATTCATTCTTCACGTTTTTATTCTTCTTTTGTACATTGTCCTTTTTCTTATTTCTTTTCATATTTCTTACATATCTTTCTTTTTCATTATCCTCAGATATTCTTTCTTTTTTCATTCTTTTTATTTTTCTCATTTTCCTTCATCTTCATTATTCAAATTCATTTCTTATATTTTTCATTCTCTGTCTTTTTTCATTCTCATTTTTATCATTCATATTTCATTCTTTTTATTTTTTTCAATTTTCTTCATCTTCATTATT